CTTCCGACCAGCCTCGGAGTGCGACAGGGAGGATTGAGTTGTTGAATAGCCTTCGGCCCATCCCACCACCGTACCTTGTTTGTTGGAAGAGGACCTTTTGGATGTTCATTGGGATCTCGTGGGGGGCCTCTCGGGGGCCTCTTGGAGGCAGTTTTGAGGCCCCTTGAAGGCCGTGTTGGGCCTCTTGGGGGCCTCTTGGGGGCCTCTTGGGGTCTCCCTCTTGGGGGAGATGGGTCGGTTTCTTGGTTCGTGTTCCCTCTCTTGGGCCACTTTTTGGGCCGTCTTTGTGCCGTCTTTGGCGCCTCATGGGCCGTCTTTGGGCGCTTTGAGGCCGTCTTGGAGCCCTCTTGGAGGCCTCTTGGGCCGTCTTCGGATGGTCTTGGGGGCCTCTTGGGCCATCTTGGAGCGCGGGGGGGGCGTGGGGGGCGGGAGCGACAGGGTCCTTCGGGCACCTTGGCGAGGTCACTAATGTCTGTCTCTTGGGGTCCTCTTGGGAGGTCTCTTTGAGGCCTCTTGTGGCGCCTTGGAGCCTTCTGGGGCCATCTTGAGGCCATCTTGAGGCCATCTCTGGCGTCTTGGAGCGATCGTTCGGCGACTCGGGGCCCTCCTGGTTTCATAGGAGGGTTCGGAAGGTCGTTTTGGGGGGCGCAACGTCCTCAGCATGCGCAGGAAACACTTCAGAACTCACGAGAGCCAGCCCAGAAAACTCCAGGAAGGCCTGGGACACGATTGGTGCGGGCCCTTCAAGATTTGCACTTTTCGCTGCAGCAGCAGCAGCAGCAGCAGCAGCAGCAGCAGCAGCAGCAGCAGCAGTACAGCGTCTACCTCTCAGTGCTGCTTGAGCCTAGGAGCGTCCCACTTCGTGCCGCACCAGACACGGTGCCGGATACTGAAAAAGAGTAGTGGAGGAGGAGGAGGAGGAGGAGGAGGAGGAGGAGGAGGAGGAGGAGGAGGGGGAGCAGGATGAGAGGAGGAGGATGGGAGGAGAGGAGGAAGGAAGGAGGAGGATGAGTTGGGAGGGAGGAGGAGAGGAGGCGAAGGAGAAAGAAGAAGAGGAGAGAGATGAAGATGAGGAGAGGAGGAGGATGAAGGAGGAGGAGTCGGCGGAATTGAAGGAGGAGGACGAGGAGAAGGAGTTGGAGTTGGACGGCTGGAGGCGGCTGCAGGGAGAGTTGGAGGCGGAGGAGGCGGCACGAGAAGGTGGCGCAGGGAGGAGGAAAAGGAGGAGGAGGACGGCGGCGAGGGAGGAGGATGAGAAGGAATTGGAGTTCGCCGGCCGGAGGCGCGGCGGTAGGCGGAGGCGTAGCGGAGGAGAAGGCTAACGGCGAGCACCAGCTGGGAGGCGACGAGGCGGAGGAGGAGGAGAGGAGGAGAGGAGAGGGAGGAGGAGGAAGAGGGGAGGAGGAGAAGAGGACGGGGAGGAGAGGAGGAGGATATTGGAGGAGGAGGTAAACGAGGAGAAGGGTTGGAAGTGGAGGAGGAGGAGGAGGAGGAGGAGGAGGAGGAGGAGGAGGAGGGGGAGGGGGAGGATGAGGAAGTGAGAGAGGAGGCGGAGGAGGCGGGAGTTGGAGTTGGGGTTGGAGGAGAGAAGGAAGGAGGAGAAGGAGGGGAAGGAGGAGAGAGGGAGAGCAAGAGGAGACGAGAGGAAGGGGAGGGGGAGGAGAGAAGGAGGAGGAGGAGGATGATGAGGACGAGGAGGCAGGCGGAGGAGGAGGAGGAGGATGAAGGAGGGGCCGGAAGAGGAGGAGGAGGAGGAAGAGGAGGAGGAGGAAGAGGAGGAGGAGGAGGAGGAGGAGGAGTTGAAGCACGAGGCGGAGGAGGCAGAGGAGGAGCAGCAGGTAGCCCCCGACGCCGCCCCCGACGCCGCCCGCCCCCGGCAGAGGTGGAGCAGCAGGTAAGACCTCCCCTCCCCTCCAGGTGCACGCGGCAGCCCCCGACGCCGCCTCGCCGCGGCCGCGCAACGGCGGCGCCCGCCCGAGGGCCATCGGCCAACTACCCTCGCCGCCACGGCCGCCCGCCGCGGCCGGGGAGGCGCCCGCCGAGCTCGAGCGGGGCGGCCCCGAGGAGCCTCCCGCTTCGGGGTCTGAGGTTTGCGGGCGTCTCCTCCTCCGCCTCCTCCTCCTCCTCCTTCTCATCCTCCTCCTTCTCCTCCTCCTCCTCCTCCTCCTCCTCCTCCTCCTTCACCTCCTCATCCTTCTCCTTCTCCTACTCCTCCTCCCTCTGTCCTCCTCCTCCTCATCCTCCCCTTTCCTCCTCCTCCTTGTCTCCCCCTCTTTACCTTCCTTCTCCTCCTCTTCCTCCTTCCCCCATCCTTCTCCGTCTCGCTCCTCCCCCCTCCCCTTCCTCCGTCCCCCTCCTCCTCCTCCTCCTCCTTCCTCTCCCTTCCCTCCTGTTCCCCTGGCTCGCGCACTCCGCCTCCTCCTCTCCTCCTCATCCTCCTACCTCTCCTCCTCCTACCTGCCTACTTTCCCTCCCCTTCCTCCTCCTCCTCCCTCCTTCCTCCTGTCCTCCTTCCCCTCTTAACCCCTCCTTCTCCTGCTTCCTCCTCTTCTCTCCTCCCTCCTCCTCTCCCTCCTCTTCCCTCCCTCCTCTCCTTTCCCCCTCCTCCCCTCCCCTCCCCTCCCTCCCTCCTCCTCCTCCTCCTCCTCCTCCTCCTCCTCGTACTCCGATTCCATTCAGCAGCTGGCGCCTCGCCGAGGGGCGTCCCGGGAGGGGGGGGGCGATTCGCTCTGCAACAGCCGCCAAGGACCCGAGTGTATGACCTGAAAGCCAGACGGCTCGACTGATTGGGAGGACCAAGAGGAGGAGCCCTGCATACCCAACGGGTACTCTTAACCAATATCAAGCGCACCTTGAAGACTATCCAGTACGGACACTCCAAGTGTGCGCGGGGCAGTACCGAGGAGGGTGCCTACTAGGAACTGCGTAAATCACTGGACAGCTCGCCCCTTGGCCCCCGACCGGTCCCACCGCGCTGGATGCGTGGCCATTGCCTGGGCCTATCAGGCGAGGATCCCAAACTGCATCGCGCGGCGTAGAGGTGCCGGCGCCGAGCGCAAGGCCATTCCCCGTCTCTCTCCTCATCCTCCCCCCGCCTCCTCGTGCTCCTCCTCCTCCTCTTCCTACCCCTCCGTCCATCTACCACCTCCACCCTCCCCAGTCGTACGTCATCCTCGTCCTCCTCCCTCGCCCTCCCTCCCTCACTGCCTAAACTGCCGGCGAACTATCCCCACGCTCTGGTCTAACACTGCCAGCGAAATATCCGCACCACCTAACACTGCCAGCGGTCTATCCTCATCCCCTCTGGATTAAAACTGCCAGCGACATATCCTCAGCCACATGAGATACTACTGCCAGCTAAATATCCTCACCTCCCTGGCCTAAAACTGCCAGCGAAATATTCTCAGCCCCCCGGCTTAATACTGCCAGCGACATACCCTGCCCACCCTGGCCTAAACTACCAGCGAAATTCCCCACGCCCCTGGCGTAAAACTGCCAGCGCAAAATCTTCACCCTGCTGGCGTAAAACTGCCAACGAAATATCCCCCCCCTGGCCTAAAACTGCCAGCGAAATATCTTCACCCCTTGGCCTAAAACTGCCAGCGAAATACCCCCCCTGGCCGAAATCTGGCAGCCAAATACCCCCACCCCCCTGGCCTAAAACTGCCAGCGATATATCCTCACCTCACTGGCCTAGAACAGCCAGCAACATATCTCAACCCCTGGCCTGAAACTGCCAGCGACATGTCTTCACCCACCTGGCCTAACATTCCCATCGCCATTTCCTCACGCCCCTGGGGCAAAACTGCCATCGTACTATCATAGTTGCCCTGTCATAGAACTGTCAGCGAAATATCCTCACCCCCTGGCATAAAACTGTCAGCGAAATATCATCACCTTCCTGACGTGCAATTGCCAGTCAAATATCCAAACGTGCCAGCGAAATTCCCCCCCTGACGTTAAAAAATTGCCAGCCCGATATCATTACCCCCCTGGCCCAGCACTGCCAGCAACATTTCCCCACGCCCGTGGCGTAAAACTGCCAGCGAAATATCCTCCCCCCCTGGCCTAAAACTGCCAGCGCAATTACCTCACCCCTCTGGCGAAAAACTGCCAATGAACTATCATCAGCCCCCTGCCTCAAACTGCCAGCGAAGTATCCTCAGCCTTCGGGGATAAAACTGCCAGCCAAATACGCTCACCCACTTCGGGCTGAACCTGCCGGCGAAGCATCCTCACCCCCTGGCTTGAATTCGCCAGCGACATATCCTCACCCCCAGGCCTAAAGCTGCCAGCGAACTGTCCTTGGTGGCCTGGCGGGGGCCCCGGCCGAATGGATGAGGGTGCACGAGGAAAGAAGGCCGACACCCCGCTGGCGGAGGAGTAGAAGGCTGAGGAAAACGGTGAGGACGACGATATCGGCGAGCGGGAAGGACGCAGGCGACGACCACGGCGACAACGGCGGCAACAGCGACGAGAAGGAGGACGAGGTGGAGGAGATGCACGGGGAGGAGGAGGAGGAGGACGAGGAGGAGCAATCACACGATGAGGAGGAGGAGGAGGAGGACAAGGAGGAGGTGGAGGACGAGGAGGACGAGGAGGAAGAGGAGGAGGAGGACGAGGAGGAGGAGGAGTGACGAGCAGGATGATGATGATGATGATGATGAGGAGGAGGAGGAGGAGGAGGAGGAGGAGGAGGAGGAGGAGGAGGAGGACGATGACAAGGATAAGGAGGACGGCGACGACGACGACGATGAGTCGAACCGCTCCGGCGGGGGCTCCCGCCTGTTCCTCGTGCCCATGATGGCCATCCTCCTCATTCCTTTCACCGTCACCACTCTTCCTCCTCCAGCCTCTCCCCCCGCCGCATCAGCATCCCCATTATTCCCCTTGCCTTCCTTCCCCTGTCCCTCCTTGTTTTGCCCTTGGACAGGAGGATGAAGACACCGACGCGTACTACGAAAGACCAGGTGCCGCCGACCAGGCCAGATGGGCGGGGGAGATTCAGGAGGGGCCTGGGGAAGATGAGGAGGGGCAGGAGGGGCAGGACAAAGAGGGAAGGATCTTCCCTACTCGGCGTTGTGCGACTGGAGCATTACGCATAGAAATTGCACTGGGAATTGCAGTGCTGATCGTCTCGCCAAAGAAGGAGCCGCGCCTTCTTCGCACTGTTGCTGGCAATCATCTTGTTGTTCCAAGGTATGCACGATATCGCCAAGAGGGCGGCCAGATATTCTCATCTCCGCCAGGCTGCGCTCAGTCCTGAGGGGGCGCGCGATCATTCTGCACGAGTGGATGTCTCGTGTGGGTTTGGAAGTTTCCCCTGGGCTCCCGATCCCCTCCTGTTGCGATCGTGTGGGTTCTACGGAGAAGGCGGAGACCTCGCCTGCGCCTGTCGTGGAGACAAGGGAGGACGAATGTGCTTTTCTGAACCTTGGAGTTTGCGCGGGCACAAGATCGAATGTGTTGAAGCACTTGATCCGCAGGGTGACCGAGTGGATGCTGTGACTTGCTGTGCGCTTTGCGGAAGCAACGTCTTTTTCACCTGCATGGCCAAGTCGTCCAGAGGTTTTCTGCTGCAGGATTGTAGATGCAAAGCGGCGGCTGGCAAGACAAACATCAACCGCAACTTGAGAGGCAAGCGTCACATTCCGAGTGTCGAGCATGGGTTCGCATGGTCGGGGGGATTTGGTGAGAGTGCTAAAAGTCGGCAGTGGGCTGCTCTTCCTCGTGGTGCCCAGAGGCCCGGAGTGAGGCCCCCTGAGCACGTGAGGCCTCCAGGTGAAGACTGTGACAGGGAGGGCTGGCCTTTTTCAAGCCTCGCCGAATCCGAAGGTCTGGCGTCCTCCTCCTCCTCCTTGCTCCTCCTCCTCCTCCTCCTCCTCCTCCTCCTCCTCCTCCTCCTGCTCCTCCTCCTCCTCCCTCCCTCCCTCCCTCCCTCCCTCCCTCCCTCCCCCTCCTCCCCCTCCTCCTCCTCCTCCTCCTCCTCCTCCTTCTCCCTCCCTCCCTCCCTCCCTCCCTCACCCGCGCGCAAAGCGACGGCCCGTCGCCGCGCCTTGGTACCTCGGCACCCTTCCCGCTGGACCCTCGGCCCTGTTGGCCCGTCTCCCCGGGGAGCCGCGCGTCGCCTGTCGCCTCTCTCTCTCTCTCTCGCGGCTGGGCTTCCTGCTCTTCTGCGCCCTCGAAAGATGTGGTTCAATGGGGATGGCGCCCTGAGAGCTCTGTAGCTGGCGACGAACGGAGAGGAGGATGGGGGAGCAGGAGGGGAGAGAGAGAGAGAGAGGCGGCGGAGAGAGCGACGGGAAGGAGGCGGATGAGGGCGACGCCTCAGCCATGCCACTTCGGCCGACCCCCCCCCTCCCCCAATGCTGCTCCCTGGCCTTCGGGTCATAGGTCGGCTGTCCCGCGGCCGTCAGGGACTTTCCATCCGTGCACCCCCGGGTCGTTTTCGGCGAGGCGCAGCCGCTGGAAAGCACCCCGAACTTTGAAACTTGCCTGGAAACGACAAGCTCGGCCGATAACCTCGAACCTCGAACCTCGAATTCGAAGGAGAACACATTTGCATCAACATAAGCCATAAGCTGTCGACGGTCCGAGCAGAGTTCTTGGATCTGCCCCCCCCTTCCTGGCGCGCGGAGCGCGCCAGGGGCGGCACCAGAGGCGCCGCCGGGGGGGCCAGCTCCAAGGATCGGGCTGGTCATGGTGGGTGACCCGAGCCTGACCTTCCAGAGTGCTAAAAAATTAGCCCTCCAGACCCATAGACCTATCTGGAATTGAAAAAATCTCGATGAGATTTGACATGCCCAGGTCCTGGTGCTAGTTTCTAGCCCTCGAGGGAGGTCCGGGAAAGGGGGGTGAGGAAAAGGGCCCTGAAGGAGCCCTTGAAGGCCCCTGATGGGCCCCTGCTGGCTCCAAGAAGTGGCCTGGAAGGGCACCGTTTGGGTCCCTTCCTGCCTTCACCTCCCGTGTAGGGCTCCCCCCCCGTTACCACCCGCGAGGAGGAGGAGGAGGCGGAGGAGGAGGCGGAGGAGGAGGAGGAGGAGGAGGAGGAGGGCCAGGAGGAGGAGGAGGAGGAGGAGCAGGCAGCAGGAGGAGGAGGACGAGGAGGAGGAGGCGAGAGGGGAGGAGGAGGAGGAGGAGGGTGGAGGAGGACGAAGCAGGCGGTGGAGGAGCGAGGAGGAGGGGAGGAGGAGGAGCAGGAGGAAGGAGGAGGAGGGGACAAGGGGAGAACCCCGCCCCCGCCGAGCCGCCGCCGACGCCGCCGCCGCGCGGCCCTCGCAGGCGGCGGCCGCCTCCCGCCGCCCGCGGTGCGCCCACGGCGCGGCCGCGGCGCGGCGCCCGCCGAGCTCCGGCGGCGCCGGCGCGCGGCGGGGCGGCGGCGGGCGGCGCGCGCGCCGCGCGCGCGCCGCGGTGGGCCGCGCTGGTCCTCGGTCGTCTCCCGCCGGGCTCCCCCTCCTCCTCCTCCTCCTCCTCCTCCTCCTCCTCCCTCCTCCCCCTCCCTCCTCCTCCTCCGCCTCCTCCTCCTCCTCCTCCTCCTCCGCGGCTGGGGGAGCAGAGCCCAGACCCCCTCGAGGGTTGAGTATCATTTGCCCGAGGCCCAGCCCCATGCTCGTTCCCCTCGAGACCCCCCCCCAAATTATAAACCCCCAGTAACCCCCAGTTGGGGATGCAACGCTCGAGACCCCGAGGATACGGCCTATATCCCTATCTAGGGGGGTAAGTCGGCCAGTGGGGCCCAGCCCACGCTGGTGGGGATGGGGATCGGTTGAACGATACTCAGAGGCATGACGAAAGTCGCGGTGGGAGGGTTCTCGTTATTTTCGGCCTCTGGGAGCCCTCGATTACCGGGCCTCGGGGCCGTCAGCAACTCACTCGCGATGAAAAGCTCCTCCTGGGAAATGTGTCGAGACCTGTGGGGGTGGGGCATGGGGGACTACGACCGTGAACTTTGGCTTAGCGTGTCGCGCCGCCGGTTCTGGCCCACCACGCTTCGGCGCGACACGCTAACAACCTTCCCACTCCCAAGCGTCAACGTCCCGAGCTTTCCCGAGCCGACGTTGAACTCGTCCCAGAAGCTGAAATTCGGCCCAGGCCGCTTCCAGCCTGGCCAGTTTCAGCCTTGCCGAGTTCCGCTGGTTGAGTTCCGCCTTGCCGAGTTTTCCCTTGACCCGAGTTTTCCCTTGACCCGAGACTGTTCTTTCTATAGGCTCGGTGCGTAACGCGTGAGTTACCCCCCCTCCAGGCCTCCCCCATTCGTAACGATACTGCCTGGGAGGTGGCCGCAGGCTTGAACCCTTCTAGCTGCTAAAGGCTTCTTTAGGGATCCTCACGAGAAGGATAAGGGAGGAGGAGGAGGAGGAGGAGGAGAACCAACGCAAACCCATCTCTCAGCAACGGTGTTGTACCCTCCCTCTCTTCGCAAGCCCGTACAAGGATTCATGTTCACTGAAGGAAGTGCCCAATTTGAAATCAACTGCCTGAAATCCTGATCCGTGCCATAACACCATGTTCGTGATGTGGGCGCCGCGAAAATCTGCATGACTGCTGCGTCTTGACGATCCTGACTCGTGCCAGAACACCATCTCCTGGAAGTCGAACGCCGCGAAGCCTTCGTCCCGACGCGCTCCTGCGGCGTGCCACGGCGCCCTTCCTCGGAGGCCAACAGTAAGAATCCATGAACATGGTCGTTCGCTCTTAAGACGAGTGTGCGCGGCGCGCCGGCGAGGGCTTCATTTTTAACGAGGGGGCCGCCCTCCATCCCCCGAAGCTCTTGCCATCGATTGACACGAGTGCACGCAGCGCTAAGGCGAGAGCCACAGTTTGACCCCCCCCCCCCCGTCTTCCACCCGTGAATCTAGAACATGTTGGACACAAGCGAGTGCGCGCGGCGCCAAGGCGACAGCCACATCTTGAAAGCCGCCCTTCCTCCATCCGTGAAGCTGTCGCACATTTCAGACTGGTCGTGAATTGTGATCAGGTGTCAGGCGAAATGCCCGGCGCTTCTTACCGACGCGTCTCGGGATGTGACAGGGAGGGGCTGTTCCTGAGAAAGAGGGCTGAAAGAGAGGGTGAATAGAGGAGGAAGCGAAGGAGGAGGAAGAGGAGGAGGAGGAAGACGACGACGACGACCGACGTGACCCTGAGGCCCCCGATGGTGCACAGGCATTTTTGTCGTAGTCGTCGTTTTCGTCGTAGCGTTAGTCGTCTCGTCGCTCTCTTTTTCTTCACTCTACTGCAAGGTGTTTCGCGCAGGGACAGAAGAAGAGGGGAGGGAGTTGGGAGGAGGGGCGTGAGAGGGAGGCGGGGACAGGCCGAAGCGACTGACCACACTTCTGTTTGATCACACGCTGCGGTGCGCGTGTGCAATGTGGTGCACGGAAGCACTGGGGTGTACACAAGCGTTGCGGTGCACGCAGACGATGTGGCCTCGACAGGCGCTGTGGTGTGCAAGAGCGGTCTGGTGTGCGCAGGCACTGTGGTGAACGGCCACGGTGTGGCTCAGGCGGCTGCTGCGATATGTGCAGAAACCGTGGTGCAATCAACACGAGCCAGTGCACAGAGGCACTGTGGTGTGCAGTGGCGCTGTTGCGCATGTGGGTGCTGGTGCACGGAGGCGCAAAAGTGTAATTATACCTGCGATGTGGCGCCATGGTGCGCGCAGGTGCCAGGGTGAACAGAGGCCCTGTGGTGTGCACAGGCGCCTTGGTGCACGCAGTTGCTGTCGTACACACGCCTATTGTGGTGCACGCGGGCGGTTGTTGCGCTGGTGTTGCGGGTGCGCCTTCCGGGTTGCACGCTGGCCGCCGTCACGGGCACCCCCTCCCTCGCCGACCACCCCCCTGGGTAACACGCGCTATCCAAAATGGATGAAACAACGATCCCGCGCTTGCTGGGTATCTCGAACTGATACCGATACCGCTACCTTTCCGCCGTCGCCACGGCTGGGTTCGCCTTGATTTCCGTCAGAACGCACACGGGGAGAGGTCTGTGGAGCAGCGGTATCGGTACCGTTTCGTCCTCCCAGCCTCTCCTCTTCTCTCGCCCGCTCCCTCCCCGGTGCTGCTGCTGCTGCTTCGTTTCCCTTCCTGCCTGTCTCTTTCTGCCCCGTCGTCCTGCCGCTGCTGCTGCTGCTGCTGCTGCTGCTGCTTCTGCTCTTCCCCTTGTTCGTCATCGTGCCAGTCGTCGTCTTCGTCGTCCTCCTCCTCTTTCCTCCTCCCTCCTCCCCGTCATCATCCCTCCCTCGTCGTCCTGGGGTTTGTACTCATAATTTTCTTCCTGCTCCCACCCCCTCCTCCTCCTCCACCTCCACCTCCTCCTCCACCTCCTCCTCCTTCCCCTCATCATGGTGCATCCTCCTCCTCCTCCTCCTCCTCCTCCTCCTCCACATCCCCCTGTCCGCAGATGCCCAAGAGTAAACCGTTCACAATGCGCATGCGTGCGGCCAGTGGTTGTTCAGCTGGCGGCTGGGGAAGCAGGGTGGGCAGTGCAGGTGCGGAAATGGGGGCCGCTGTTCGCAAGCAAGCCGCCATGGCGCAGCAAACGCTCCGGAGAGAAGAGTTGCAACACTGCGTTTTCGTGGTGAAGGGACAAGCCCGAGGATAACCCGCTGCAGCACGTGCTGGAAATCGCAGATCTGTACGACCTTCAGGCGGAGATGGCGATTAGCGAAGCCGTCAAGCAGGTGGTGCCCAAGGCGCCCCCTTCACAACGCCAGCCGAAGGATTTCTGGTAAACCGTCTCACAGGCCAAGGTCGAGAAGAGCAAGGAGTTCGTCATGGCCGCAGACGGGTGCAGTGGCGGAAGGCAGCGTTGTGACGTGACGGGCTGCTGGTGAAGGCCCACGGTGCTAACGCAGAGCGGACGGAAGAAGGCGCCCGAGGAACACAACATAGAGACAAGTGCACGGCCCCGAAATTGTTCATGGCGAAAATGGTTGCGTTGGCGGGATTCCTGAGATCGGTGGAGGCTCCCGCCGGCAAGGCTGCAGGCGCTGGACTTCCCCAGTCGAGTGTGGGCAGCACTGCGCTGCCGAAGAAAACGCAGGTCACGTGCACCAAGGGCGAAGTGTCGCTGATCCACTGTTGCTTGGTGACGGATGACTTCGTGCCAGCAGTGGCGGAGGTGAACTCAGTGTTGAGAGCGTCGTGGAAGGCGGGCTGCGGCCTGGACAGTCGGGTCGAGGGCTCGTACCAGGAGGTGGCTGAGGACCTTGCTAAGCCCCAAAGCACCACCGCGGATGCTGAGGCCCCAGATGGTGGTGGACCCTGATAGCAAGTCGACGAGGAATAACATGCTCAGGCTGCAACGACGGAGCCAGCGGCTGGAAGGCAGTGCTCCAGGGGGTCTTCGAGCAGCTGCGCGAGGAGGAGGACGAGCGGGAGGAGTCCAGGGTGGCCGTCGAGGCGCCGGAGGACGCGTGGAAGGCAGAGGAGATCAGGCCGCAGCTCGAGCGCAAGCCGAAAGCATTGGGCCTGGCCAGCCACGTCGCCAACTGAGGCAAGGAATTGCAGGAGCAGGAGATCTCGAGGATGCACGGGCGCTGGGGCCCCCGGGTGGGGAACGCGACCATGGGCGCGCCGACGGCATGCGGGAGGAAGATCGAGCTTCGAGCAGGGGGCGAAGAGGGAGACGCGCCACCAAGTGGAAGAAGACGAAGCCGACGCCTCGGAGGGTGCGCGCGCAGCCGCAGGGCGGAGAGTGCGGCGTACGCGGCGAGCATGCGGAATAGATGCTGCACCCTGGAGAGTGGCGAGAGGAAGGGGAAAGGCAGGTCCTGGAGGACACGGGGTGCAAGGGCGCACCCCGCCCTTTTCGGCGGGCGCAACGACTGCGGCGACGTCCAGCGCTGGAAGCAGATGATCGGCGATCGGGCGCAGCTCAAGAGGCCGCGGCGAAGGCACACGATCGAGGGCACTGACCAGCTGCCAGATGCAGGGAAGACACGCGCGCGCAGTTGAAGCGCGCGCAGACGGCGCGGGGGGGCCATGCGGGAATGATCCGCCATCATGTTGAGGAAGGACAGCCCGCGTTGCAGGGTCGTGTGGAGGGCAATGCGCCAGCGCAAGTCAGATCAGGATATGGAGGACCTCGCCAACGCCTGCGACGCGGAGGGGCGCCAGCCCAGGCAGCGCGCGGCGGCGCAGGCAGCGGCGGTGCCCATGCCGGCAGGGGGCGACAGAGTGCTCGCGCTGCCGTCGGAGGCCCAGCGCAAGGCCGCAGGCCCGATGGCATGGGCATGGGCGGAGGCGAGGGCCATCGAGGGCCTTTCCGCTCTGCGAGCGGCGCGGTCTCGCGCAGTGTTGGACGGGATGGGGCGCGAGTTGGGCGCGACTTCGGCCGCGCCCTCGCGCGACCGGCAGACCTTCTATGACGCCATCAGCTTGGCTAAATTGATGGACCTGGCTGCGCGCGCGGCGCCCGGCGATCGCGGCGGCGATGGGGGCGCGGCTCTGCCGGGCGCCCATGCTGCTGCAGGGCAACGAGTTCGGCATCGGCCGGGGCGCGGCCGACGGGGTCGGCGGCGGCGGGGTCGGCGCGCGGCCGAGGTGCGCATCCGCCGGGCGCTGGCCAGGGCACGCGAGGCAGCGCCGACCTTGGGCCCCGGGGCTTTCGCGGACAACGCGGCGGCGAAGATGGAGGGCCTTGAGAAATCAGCCACCGTCGGCGCGAACGAGACGGCGGAATTCGTGCGCGGGTTTCGTCGAGGAGAGGCGCGCCGAGATCTCCGGCGCGCCCGGGCAGCCCAGATCTGGCCCGACATTCGGGAGGCAGCTGGGGGGCTCTGCGAAGCGAGAAACTGCCCACGCAGGCGGCGGAGGAGGCGGCGGACCCGGGCTGAGACGCGGCGGCTCGCCGGAAGCGCGACGGCGTCAGCGACTCGGCGCGGCCGGGGGCGCTCAGCCGCGGTGGCGAAAATGAGGAGGGCCGCGGAGCAGACGCTCGAGACTAAGGGCCCCTGGAGCGCGAGCGTCAACCTGCGGGCGGCCCGGGGCCGCCCGCTGCAGGGGCGCCGAGCAGGATCGCAGAGGCCCGCAAACAGGCTGGCGCGGCCTCTGGCGGGGCGCGGGCAGCAGATGCCTCGCCGCGGTCCTGGCGGCGACGTTGCCGGAGGAGGTAGGGGTGCAGCTGAGAGCCCAATTGCTGGGCGGATGGCCCACGTCGTTGGAGACAGCGCCCGAGCTGCACGCGGGGAACAAGATGGCCTGGGGATTGGCGAGGCAAGCGCAGAGCTCAGCTGGGCCATGCAGACGATAGGTGGGGGCCCGCGGGCAAATCGGAGCAGTTCAGGCAGTGCCGGTGGGTCTCGGACGAGGGCCGCGGGCTGCTGCGCCACGGTTGCGAGCTGAGCGTCAAGGATGGCGGGGGCGTTCCAGCGAAGATCGAAGAGGGGGGCCCCGCCATGGAGTGGCACCCTTTGCGGGCGACGGACGAGACTCACGGCTCCTTCATCGACCACCAGGGGCTGTCGCGCGACGCGAGGCAGGACGCGGCGCATGCGCGGTGGAGAGCTGCGGCGGCACACGAGCATGGTGCGGCTCTCGCAGGCGGCGCGGGCGTCCGCCACCTGCGAGGCAAGCTGGGGCGAATGGCCAGAAGACAGGGGGGGGACATACACAAAAACACAATTTTTCACTGCGTGGAGCTCCCCATATGTGCAATTATCCCCATGGACGCGTCCGCCGCGAGTGTCTAGGCGCAAGAGCTTTCGAATCTAAGCGGGCTTGAGTTGTGGCGGTCTGGTCACGAATCTAACCTCGAACGAATTGGAGCGTGAATGAGTCTCAGCAGTACGAACGCGTCTCTGCGCATGAGCCTGGGGCCTCCTGGGGCCTCCTGAAACCTCCTGGGGCGGGGCCTCAAGGAGCCTCCTGGGGCCTCCTGGGGCCTCTTGGAGCTTCGAGTGGCCTCCTGACTCCTCCTGAAGTCTCGCGCGGCCTCCTTGGGCCTCCTGGGGCCTCCTTGGGCCTAGGGAGGAATCGTGCCCCAGGAGAGGCCCGATCTATAGGAACAGACGCACATGAAACATTGCGGATCGGAACAGCAGGAGAAAGGCAATCTATTGGAACACGCGTCGAACATCAAGACTTCGTGCCCCAGGGGAGGCCCAATCTATAGGAACATTGGCAAAACATGTTTGGATTGTATACACGGAAGAAGGACAATCTATGTACACATACGTATAACATCAAGGATTCGTGCACCAGGTGGGGCCCAATCTATAGAAGCATACGTAAAACACATGGGATTGGAGCCACTCCCGTTGCCTCCTGAGGACTCCTGCTCCTGGGGCCTCTCGGGGCCTCCTGTTGCCTTCTGGGGCATCCTGGCGCTTCCTATGGCTTCTTGGGGCCTCCTGGAGCCTCTTGGGACATCCTGTGGCCTCTTGAATCTCCCTGTGGCCTCCTGATGCCTCCTGGGACCTCATCTGGTCTCCTGGGGCCTGCTGGGGCCCCCTGTGGCATCCTGGGGAGAACTTGTGGCCACGAGTCCGGTCACAAACACAAGCCGATCGAGACATCCTCAAAATCTGGCCCCCCGGGGGGCGAAAGTGAACGCCTCCCTCGAGATATCCTCACAATCTGCTCTCCAAGCGAAGGGTGTTGAGACAGAAAACAAGCAAACCGATTGAGACATCCCCACAAAGCGGCCGCGAACGGGACCGTGCAATACCCTTCGGCGGCTCCCCTTAGCTGAAACCAGCGCCCCGCCTGAAACCCCTTCATAATCTGCTCCAAGCGAAGGATGCTGCGACAGAAAACATGCAAACCGTTTGAGACATCCCAACAAAGCGGCCGCGAACGGGACCGTGCAATACCCATCAGTTGCTCCCTTCAGGGGTGCTGAAACCAGCGCCCCGCCTGAGACATCCTCGCAATCTGCTCTCCAAGCGAAGGATGTGAAGACAGACAACAGGCAAACCGTTCGAGACATCCCCACAAAACGGCCACGAACGGGACCGTGCAATACCTCTCGGCGGCTCCCCGTAGGGGTGCTGGAACCAGTGCCCCGCCTGAGATATCCTCGCAATCTGCTCTCCAAGCGAAGGATGTTGCAGCAGAAAACAGGCAAACCGTTTGATGCATCCCCACACAACGGCCGCGAACGGGACCGTGCAATACCTCTCGGCGGCGCCCCGTAGGGGTGCTGAAACCAGCGCCCCGCCTGAGACATCCTCACGATCTGCTCTCCAAACGAAGGATGTTGCAGCAGACAACAGGCAAACCGTCCGAGACGTCCCCACACAACGGCCGCGAACGGGACCGTGCAATACCCTTCGGCGGCTCCCCTTAGGGGTGCTGAAACCAGCGCCCAGTCTGAGACATTCTGACGATCTGCTGTGTGTTGAATACATCAGACAACCAGAAGGTCGGAGTATGACGAAGTCTGGGTACGAGTAAGTTTCAACATGAGGAAGTCTGAATATGAGTAGGTCTGAGTATGAGTAGGTCTGAGTATGAGCACATTAATGTGATGAGGTCTGGGTATGCGTAAGTCTGTGTGTGAGTAAGTCTAGGTATGAGGAGGTGGAGGAGAAGGAGGAGGAGGAGGAGGAGGAAGAGGAGGAGACGAGGAAAGAGTAGGAGGCGTCCAAGTAATAACAAGAACCCCCATCTTAGGATATGGGGAATCATTCGTCGATTCCCTGGAAAAATATGGGAAAATATGGGAAACGGGGGGGAGACAAGAGCCCAGAACATTCTGCTATGTGTGTCTACTTCTTTGTGTGTCCCAAAGCCCCTTTCAGAAGACAGGAGAGGACGGACTGGTCGCTGAACATGTCGGTGGCGAAAGCAGGCCAACGGCCGGGGACGCGCCACGGTCGAGAAGGAATCCTGGTTGATGAGCTGTGCCCGCGTTGCCGCCAGGGGCCAGGAACTTCCGTTGGGATCCCAATGCTCGTCCTTTTTCGTCCTCCCCCTCTTCTTCCTCCTCCTCCTCCTACTCCTCCTCCACCTCTTCCTCCTTTTCCCCCTCCCTATCCCAATCTTCATCCTCATCCTCATCCTCATCCTCATCGTCCTCCTCCTCCCCTTCAACCGTCTCCTCCTGTTCCACCGTGTCCTCCTCCTCCCTGCCTCCTCCTTCCTGAGTTCCCTCCCCGTCCTTCTACCCCCTCCTTCCTCCCGCCCTCCCCCCCTCTCTCTCTCTCTCTGCTTACTCCCCCCCTCCTCGCTCCCCCCCCTTCTCGCCCAGGCTCCGCGGGATGGGGCCGCGGCGGCGGCGCTGTGCCAGCGGAGCCGGCAGCGGCCGGCGCGGCGGGGGGGCGGCGCCCAGCAGCGCTCAGAGGCTGGTCCTGCCTCCTCCTCCTCCTCCTCCTCCTCCTCCTCCTCCTCTTCCTGATCCTCCTCCTCCTCCTGCTCCTCCTGGCCTTCCTGCGCCCTGGGCCGTCCCCGCCGCCGCCGCCGTCGGCGGCGGCGGGCGGCGTTGCTACGGCCGTCGTCGTCGTCGTCGTCGTCGTCGTCGTCGTGGTTTTCGTCGTCTACGTCGTCGTTGTCGCCGCTGTCGTCGCCGTCACGCAGGCATGCATACACTCATCTGTACATACATACGCACGTGCATACCTGCATGCATGCATACATGCGTACGCGCGCCTACCTACTTGCCTGCCGACCTGCCTACAATCCTGCCTACTGGCCGACCTGCCTACACACAGAGAGACAGACAGACAAACATACATACATACATACATACGTACATACACACGTACATACATACAAAATGCGTACACACAAACCTACATGCATGCATACATACAACCATATGTACACGCATGCATGCATACCTACATACATACAACCATAAATCATAAACACACACACACATACTTATACATGTATATAAACACATGCATACATCCATGCGTGCACACATGAATATGTACACACATACATACAGACACACAGACGTATACGCATGCAGATGGACATACACACATATATATATATATGCATACATACATACGTACATGCATGCATACATGCATGCATGCATCCATACATACATACATACGCGCAGACGTACACGCATGTATACAGACAAACGTACACGCATCCATGCACACATGTATGACTGCACACTTCTATTCACACATAACTACCGGTTTCCATACACATATATACATATATACACATACATATATATATATATATATAGATATACATATCTACTCCCAGATGTGCATACATACATGCACCCACACATGCATACACACAGACGAATACATACACACATGCATCCGTACATACATGCGCACATACATACACCCATACATACCAACGTACCTGCACACATTCATGCATACATGCATGCATTTCTATATGTATATATAGATACACCTGCATCGATGCATGCATGAGCACAGGCATACACACGTACACAGCATACATGCATGTATGCATGCAGACATACGTACACACATACACACACATGTACAACCATACGCACAGACAAATGTACACATACATGTATCGATAACTAGTTATAGTCGTGCAAACATACGTACCTACCTGTCTACATACATACCGACATTCATACATACATACATCTACACATCCACACATACCTGCATGCATACATGCATGCACGCGAACAGTTTATACATATTTACATATATATACGTTGGTGCATGCTTACATATATACACGCCTACATGTGTTCTCTCTCTCTCTCTCTCGAATTCTGCATATTCATATCAGTCGGTCTCTCCTTTTTGTGCTCTCTCTCTCTCTCTCTTCCTCTCTTCCTTTCCATTTCTCACCCTTTCTCTCCCTCTCTCTCTCTCTTTCTCTCTCACTCTGTCACTCTTTCTCTCTCATTCTCTCTCTCTCTCTCTCTCTCTCTTGGCGGCCGCGACGCTCCGAGGCGTGTCGCCCGAGGCGGCCCCTGAGGAGGCCGCGGCAGCGCCGACGCCCGCACCGCCCCCGACGCCCCGAGCAGCCCCCGGCGGGCCATCGGCTGCCGTGGTGGGCATCGGCTGCCGCAGGGGGGGGGGGCGGGGGGGGGGCGGGCGCGCGCTCGAGGAGGGGGCCGGGGTGGGCGGCTCCTCCAGGGCGGAGGCGAGGGAGGCAGGGAGGAGGAGGATGGGGGCAGGGAGACCCAGAGATCTAACGTACTGGATACATCAAGACGGACGTGTTTCGCAATTTCCGGCCTCTAGGGGCCCTCACCGGGCCCCGGGACCGTTAATAAATGACTCAGGATGAAAAACCGGTCCTGGGGAATGGGTCGACCCTTCCGTGGACCCCGTATTGAAAAAGTCACGACATCGGATCTCTGGGAAAGGGAGAGGACTTGCGGGAGAGGGGCAGGGAGGAGGGGGGGGGAGGGTGGCCTGGGCAGGCGGCTACGCCAGCGCGGGTGGAGGGGGGGGGCAGAGGGGGCAGGACGCCCACCTCAGGGGCAGCGTCAGGTGAGTCAAGGTTCGAGGTTTTCAACGGGATGCGTTCCAGCGGCTGCGCTTCGCCGAGGGTTTTCCGGGGGTTGCTCGGATCGTCCCAGACGGCCGCTGGGGAGCCCGAGCCATGGCCCGAAATCCTGGGCGCACCGACCCCTCAATCGCCCACTGATCGCCGTTGGCCCCGTCCAAGAACCGTGTCGCTGGCCAGCTCGATGTTCCCTCCCACCCCCCCTGAGCGCCCCCCTCGATCGTCGCCCCTCATCACCAGGGGGTGGGCACTGCGGCCGTGCCGTTTTGCAGAACGTCGCCCCCCTCGATCGTCGCCCCTCGTCGCCCCCCTCGATCGTCGCCCCCCTCGATCGTGGCCACTGCGGCGGCCGTGCCGTTCTGCAGAAGCTCCTCTGTTGTGGGGGGGTGAGCGGCTCTCCCTCCCTCCGCCTGCCCAGTGTTCCTCCTGCCCCTCCCCCTCTCCTCCTCCTCCTCCTCCTCCTCCTCCTCTCCTCCACCTCCTCCTCCTCCTCATCTCCTCCTCCTCATCTCCTCCTCCTCTCCTCCTCCTCCTCTCCTCCTCCTCCTCCTCCCCCTCCTCCTCCTCCTCCTCCTCCTCTCCTTCTCCTCTCCTCCTCCTCCTCCTCCTCCTCCTCCTCCTCCTCCTCCTCCTCCTCCTCCTCTCCTCCCCCTCGTCTCTCTTCCTCCTTTCCGTGCCCGCTCTCCCCTCTCCATCCACCCTCCTTCTAAGAAGAAGTGTTTCTTCCCTTCGCGCCATCCAGCCCCCCCCCGGCGCGCGAGAACGGCGAGGCGCTTCCCCCAGCGTGCGACGGCGAGCCCCCCTGCTCCTCCTGCCTCCAGCCCCTGCTCCTGCCTCCTGCGCTGCTCCCCGAAGCCCTTTTCGATTCAAATGGCCCCCGCCCTTCCTTGTCCAGACCTCACACACACAAAGAAGAGAAGCGCAACGCACAAGCAATCAAAACACGCCCCTCCGAGTCTCCCGACAGAGCATCGAGTCCTCGAGGGTTGAAGGAGCCCCTAACCCTAGTAACACGATGAAGTCGTAGCCTTACTGAGATCCCCGATTTTGCACAGGGGACGAGAGACCTGGGCGGCTTGGTCTGGCACATCTGCAGAAAAGACCCCCTGTCCCTTATTTTTTGGCGTCCTAGCTTCGGACCTCTCCCAACGGGAAGGGTTCCTTTTTTAGTTCATCCTCTTTCAGGAGGGGAGAAACACTAAGATTTGTCTTCGGCATTTGTTTATGTATGTTTCGACTGTTTTTGATTTTTCGCCCAACATCCGTTTGTAGGAGGACATGCCCGACACTGGACAGGGTGGACCCGACATCGGGAGCCTTGAGACGGGGGTCAATGCAAATGGGGGTTAGTCAGAGCGCCGGACCTTGCAGAATCCTGCAGGGACAGGGTCGCATTGACACGGGCTTGGGTGCAGGATCCTGCAGGATCCTTCGCATTGACCCGGGCTTGTGTGCAGGATCTTGCCGGAGTTGTAGGACTCTGCAAAGCCTGACTGACCCGGGTCTGGATCTACCAAGGTCAGAACATCCCCGACGACAGGGGAGCCGGTCTCGAGCGCACGTCGCAGGGTGGGGCAATTCAAACAGTGGCGAAGCGTCTTGGCGTGCCTATAGGTTTACCAAGCGATGTTCTAAGGACCTTGTGTGGTTGGTCTCCACGAAATGTTCTTAGAACATTTCTGGCTGGAACCGTTCTGTTTTAACTCATCGGGTTTATGCGCTAAGAACATGATGTTTTGTTATTAGAACATGTCTGGGTTCGAAGAACATGTCGTGGTAGGCCCATAGGAATGTCAGGACGGTCGGTCCCTGCTCAAGTAAGGGGGGGGTGGCCCAAATTTGGGGTGAAGATGCAGGCCATAACGGGGCCCTTTAGGGCCCCTCTTGAAGCCCGCGGGGGCCCAAAAGGGGCCCTCATAAAGGACCCTGTCAGGGCCCTTGTCTCCACCCCCCAGCCCTGAGATCCGACGTTGGAAAACAAATGCAACATTGCAAAACAAAAAAAACACGACCGGAGCCCCGGCCCCCATCTGGGTCATTTTTTTAAGCCAGATCGATATGTGAGGGCCCCGGGGCCCGAAATTGTGCGAGAACGCCCGGTGTGAAAAAAATATTCAACGCCAGGATCTCAGGGAATTTGGGCCACCCCCCATTGCCACCCGCCCGAGGGGAGCCGCTCTCGAGGTCACGTCGCTGGGCGGGGCGAGAGGAGGGGCCTTCCTGCCCTGACTTTCCAGAGTGCTACAAAAAAGCTCTCCATACCTACAGACCTACCCAGACGGCGTAGAAACTCGACTGGATTTCAGATGTCGAGATCCTGGTGCTCTTTCTTCGCCCTGGAGTGCTACAAAAAGCTCTCCATACCTACAGACTCATGCAGACGGCGTAGAAACTCGACTGGACTGCAGATGTCGAGATCCTGGTGCTCTTTCTTCGCCCTGGAGTGCTACAAAAAGCTCTCCATACCTACAGACTCATGCAGACGGCGTAGAAACTCGACTGGACTGCAGATGTCGAGATCCTGGTGCTCTTTCTTCGCCCTGGAGTGCTACAAAAAGCTCTCCATACCTACAGACTCATGCAGACGGCGTAGAAACTCGACTGGACTGCAGATGTCGAGATCCTGGTGCTCTTTCTTCGCCCTGGAGTGCTACAAAAAGCTCTCCATACCTACAGACTCATGCAGACGGCGTAGAAACTCGACTGGACTGCAGATGTCGAGATCCTGGTGCTCTTTCTTCGCCCTGGAGTGCTACAAAAAGCTCTCCATACCTACAGACTCATGCAGACGGCGTAGAAACTCGACTGGACTTCAGAGTCGAGATCCTGGTGCTCTTTCTTCGCCCTGGAGTGCTACCAAAAAGCCCTCCAGAGCTACAGGCCCATCCAGACGGCGTAGAAACTCGACTGGACTTCAGAAGTCGAGATCCTGGTGCTCTTTCTTCGCCCTGGAGTGCTACCAAAAAGCCCTCCAGAACTACAGGCCCATCCAGACGGCGTAGAAACTCGACTGGACTTCAGAAGTCGAGATCCCGGTGCTCTTTCTTCGCCCTGGAGTGCTACCAAAAAGCCCTCCAGAGCTACAGGCCCATCCAGACGGCGTAGAAACTCGACTGGACTTCAGAAGTCGAGATCCTGGTGCTCTTTCTTCGCCCTGGAGTGCTACCAAAAAGCCCTCCAGAGCTACAGGCTCATCCAGACGGCGTAGAAACTCGACTGGACTTCAGAAGTCGAGATCCTGGTGCTCTTTCTTCGCCCTGGAGTGCTACCAAAAAGCCCTCCAGAGCTACAGGCCCATCCAGACGGCGTAGAAACTCGACTGGACTTCAGAAGTCGAGATCCTGGTGCTCTTTCTTCGCCCTGGAGTGCTACCAAAAAGCCCTCCAGAACTACAGGCCCATCCAGACGGCGTAGAAACTCGACTGGACTTCAGAAGTCGAGATCCCGGTGCTCTTTCTTCGCCCTGGAGTGCTACCAAAAAGCCCTCCAGAGCTACAGGCCCATCCAGACGGCGTAGAAACTCGACTGGACTTCAGAAGTCGAGATCCTGGTGCTCTTTCTTCGCCCTGGAGTGCTACCAAAAAGCCCTCCAGAGCTACAGGCTCATCCAGACGGCGTAGAAACTCGACTGGACTTCAGAAGTCGAGATCCTGGTGCTCTTTCTTCGCCCTGG